TATATATGAACAGAAAACGAGCAACGGAGTGAAATATGCACTAGTAACAGCTCAGCGATAAACGACATGTCAACCCATTTTTCATCTTTGTGTCTGTAATCACAGTCTGAGCTATTTCCAGAAAGTCCCTCCGAAAAGCAAAAAAATACTGCGCCCATCCTGAGGATGTTAGCTCAGGGGGGGAGAGAGGAGCGATAGAGAATATAAATAGTCCTCATTTTTGAAGACACTGCAAGCACTTTGTAGAGAACACTGAAGATCATAGCAACCAACCGACAGTAGTGGTGTTCTCGGAGTGTTGACCATAAAGATTCAATGCCTTTCGCCTCTGTCGAAGCAGATCCACTCCTAATTTTTTACTACGCATTCATACTTACTTCGTGAATTTTGTCAGTTTAGCAGCAATCAGTGAAATTTGCTTCACCGCATTTCGTTTTACGACGATGATTATGACGACGAGTATCATGCACTCACTATATTCGGTCGCTATGCCTCGGTCAAAATTGTCCATAGCTCGGTGTTCCGCTCCAAATTCTATACACATCGTGGCCGTGCTCACGAAAGTATCACACTCACACAGAAAAAGATGCTCGGACATTCAGCTTAGAAGTTGACAGCGTGGTCAGATTTAATGATCCTTGAGATAAGCTTGATTAAGATCTACTTGTCAGATTACCGCAATTCGTCAAAAGTACTGATTTTTACCAAACGGGGTCTTGGTTTTAACATCACTGGCCCAAAGTTGACAGCGTTTTGGGAGTCGCAACCCTCTCCCCCCCCCCACATACACACTCATTCAGTTTATTTTATTGCAACTCACAGTGATCGCCTGACCCTATGAATATATTGACTTGTGCAGGTACTGACAAAGTGCTCGCACGAGTACATCGAAGTATGTTCTCTGACTAGTTTGGCCACAGAAATGGAATAACAAAGACTGGGGCAACGCAGTAGCCCAGTAGTTGGACATGTGGGACAGGGACGCTATAGCTGTGAACGTGTGATCAGGACACAAATAGAATGCAAGTTGACATTCCGGTCCGGTAGACATGCACGCCTCAGGTGAATGACTCATATTAGCAGGTCAACTGCGTGATGCTCCCTAGGGGTCAGTTTTCTCTGTGGCGATCAACACCTGTCTAAACATGAATATGAATGCGTCGGGGTCAGCAAAGCAGTGCCAGAATGAGGAACAAATATTCTCATTTGAGTACATTATGTTTCAAACATGTGAGTCCCATTATATATCAAACAAATCACGGTACCGAAATTTTTCTATAAAAAAAGATTCATTATTTGCTCGTGGATGAAATACTGTTAGGTTGTTTAGGCCAAAGCAGGCGAATTTTCCAGTGTAATTCAGAATCGAACCCTTTGGTTAGCCAAAGTCTGACCCGCATGGCAGAGGGCAAAAATCGCAACATAAAATAGGTTTCCAAGGTTTGACAGCTATCACATTCCGCAATACGGTGCATAACTCGTGGCCGCGCGCCTTCACATTCCGCAAGATACAAACATTTATTGAACTTTAATCACTCGCCAATTACGATCACATCACATCAGACGCCGCATACATTTACCGTCATTGTCACCTCACATACGCATAATTGGTCAGTAGTGAGTATGAATTCGGAGCCTGGCGTCACGCGATCTTAATTAGTGGAGTCTATGAACATGCTGCGCGAACTGAGCACGCGACGGTCTAGTCAAATATCAAACAACGTTCTGTGGCACTGTCACCGATGCAGATCACTCAAAATGTTTTCTCCAGACCGAAGCTGTATTGCGTCACCAGGAAATGCTTGGGTCAGTATTTTGTGTCTACGGCACGTGTCAGCAACCGGTCGAGGTAATGCCAAAATAGGAGTCATATGTTGGAGCCGGTTCGGGATATGTAGTCGAACTAGAATAATCAAGATTGTCACCAACCGGTAGCAATCTCACCTGTGCCCGCGCAAAGATTCCCTTATTGACCAGTGTGACACTATTTTGGTGATTCCTCTCATATTCATATCTGGCCGGTTCGCACATTACGTGCGTGAACAATAAAAACATTACATAGTTCTTCTAGTTAGAGAATGCTTTTAAAGTTCTACTAACCATCACAGTAAACAGAGCACAATCGTCCAGGATATAAATCGTGTTATCAGCTTCCCCTCTTCAATTTGTCACAAGGGAGACCTGTTTCAGTTCCCATGTCAGAGGAAATCCGGTTAAAAACATTTTGTCTTTACCTAGGTCTACCACTCTAAGCTCTACTCTTAATTACTACTACCTACTTCTACTTTACTGAGGCTGGCTCCTTCGGAAAAGATAAGCCGGCTCCAGACATAATCATGATGAAGATCATGGAGTTCCATGGCAGTTTGGTACGAGAGACGTCCCCAGCGTCATTCTTGATTAGCACCGCAGAAAAAGTACACCCAAAAATTGGATAGGAAATACGTTTTAGGGTGAGAAATTGTGTCGATGACCTAATCCATAGACCGTGTCAGTAGGATATGATAAAAGAAAACTGGCGGAACGATAAATCAAGAGACTGCTGGTTGGTCACCGCTTCTAACTTCTTTAGGCAGCGTAAACCGGAACTTGAATACTGCGCTTTATGTCTAATGATGGTGATCGAACGGTTTAACATATTGGTATGCATCAATCTATAAAGTAGTGTTCGAAATCCACCATGGACACTCAGTTTCGGTGTTTATTGGACTCAAGGCGGAAGTGACCAACAGTGGGCCGCTACATCTTCGTTAATTTACATTGTCGTGAAGTGTGATGGTCTTGATAAAATTTCAATCTTTTGATAATGCTTAATGTGAGTTTAGGAGATGTACGCAATTGGTGTAAGAATGCGATTTTGGGGGATTTTCGTTTCAAGTTGTGACCTTGAGAACATATCAATGGGTTCCAACGAGTGAAAAACCGACCTGCCGACAGTCTTCTTCCGACAGTACGGAAGTGAGAGGTACCGAAAATTATCATGCAGAGAGCAAATGTTCTACCTGTCGTTCATTCATAGCGTAGAATAAAACGCCGACCGAAGAACGTGTTTGAATCCGTCGGGGAAATGATATGCAATACCATATGTCTCGATTATTGGAATCAAACACTCCAGAACTATTCTGCGAACTCTTCAAACACCTCCGACGACTGCATTCTTGATGAACCATGTTTACATACTTCTGGTAACATATTTGATAACCTACTGATATCAACTATTTTAAATATCTGATTAGAGAAGCTTAATGATTTACACAGTTTACACTACTCATGAGTAGTCACTGAAAATTTACGAAAATGGCTCAAGGGGATTATTGGTCATCGGCAGACAGTACTGTGGCCTTAAGTGATTCGTGAGTTCCACTATTCGTGCTTAAACTGTTGATTTCCGTATCCGGAAACTGGATTTTCGTTACCAAGGGGTTCGAATTTTTCAATGCATGTAATTAAGGACTTACAACACCACGAATCACGTGACTGATAGACATATAGTGATCGTCCACAACATTGGCCATATGATAGACGGGCATTCCATCCGATTTGAGAAGGATCTGAAGACAGAGTAGGGTGAGTTCGTTTTTTTATTATGAAGCTGCTAACGATACAATTGGGAGAAAACAGTGTGAAAATTAACTTCAATCATGTTGCCTGCTTGGTTATCTGACTAGTTCAACAAACATCATTGATTTCCCAAATCAAATGGGAGGTGTTTCAAACCTTTAAAAAATCCTGGCATGGTACAAAGCGTTGTGCTCTTTCCACATCTTTTCCTACTTATTTAGGCGGGTTATTAGTCGTCCCCAGTAAGTATAAAATATTTAGGACATATGACACTGTAACACATTGTTTCCCATCTTTCACAATTTGTGGCGTATTCAAAGCAGTCCGGATTTATCTCAAATCTAAACTAATTTGCGGAACGTCTTTCCCGCCTTCCGTACCCCCGTCTCCATCAACAC